GGTTATACGACTCCTAGTGACAAATTAAGGTTAATAATTATAACAAACGTTCCCTTGAGATTCTTGCTTTGTACAATCCAATTCTAAATTCTTGTTTCTCTAGGTTTCTAAACAAGGCATGCATCATCAAGGACCCTCAAGACCTAATAAGTCTCTCGAATTCATGGAGCCTCTGCACGGTCGACCAAGTCGAGGAACTAAAAGCACTAATCAAAGTCATCCCAATTTGGTCGACCGGCATAATTTCCTGCCATAAACCTTAGCCAAACCTCATTCCCCTTGATTCAAGCCAGCTCGATGGACCGCCACATCACATGATGCTTCGAAATCCCGGCTAGCTCGTTCGGCATGTTCGACATTGTAACCCTAACCCTATGGATCATTTTGTACGACCGCGCGATCCTACCTCTCGCCTCGAAGCTAGCCGGCAAGAAAGTCAATCTCGGAGTCAAACTAAGGATGGGGATCGGGATTTTTCTATCCTACGCGGCGATGGTGGTCTCAGGTTTATGTATATTTTTTGTCAAAATGAGTTTCTTGCTATGTACCTAAATGTGATTTTGCAAAGTTGGCATTTTTGGGTGATATCGATTTTAGAACAAATATTTAATATTTAGGTTATGGGAATTAAAATAAGAATTGAATGAATGCTATGGGCAAACACAGTTCTGTTTTTTAGTCGAGTCAATAAATCCCCACGGTGGGCAGTGCCCACTAGTTTACGTATTCTGTTGAAAAACGTATTCTCAAAATACGTTTTTCATATAAAATAAACTAGTGGGCACTGCCCACCGTGGGCAGAGGAATATATTTATAAATCTATATGAATGGAGTTTGTAGACTTCAGTAATCAGGGCCCTCCCTTTTCTTTCCTTTTTCTGTTGGGCTTATGGTCCTTGTGATGGGGAAGAGGAGAAATTGGGTGTGGTGTGAACACCATGTTGAGAAGTTGCAAAGATCACAAGTAATTTTTGGATATTTGAAAGTGGTTTTTGGTTCTTGTATGTAGGGGCTGGACACGGTTCAGATACTCGAGTTTTTTGAGGTATTTGCTAACCGAACCGAACCGAGCAAATATTCGAACTTGCTAACCGAAACCAAACCGAAAATCTCAATTAACCGAAAAAAATCCTACTATTTGCGAGATTTGTGTTAGGTTTGCTCGGTTCGGTTCGGTTCGGTTAATTCGCGAATAACCATACCAACAGGTTAGTTTAATATATATAAATATAATATATAATATATAATACAATATATATTTTATAAATTTTAATATAATATACGATTCAGTTCGGTTCGATTAACCGGGGTAAAAAAATCCTAAAAACCGTAACCGAACCGAGCAAATACTTTCTTTGAGGTATTTGTAACCGAACCGAGTACCCCGGTTAACCGAAAATTCGGTTCGATTTCGATTCGGATCTACGATTCAGCGGTTCAGTTCGAATTTTTTGCCCTTTCCTACTTGTATGTAGGTTAATAAAAGTTATATAAGTTGTTGGGAGATTTTAGATCGAAAGATTCTTGATTTTCTTTTTGTGTTGATCATTAAAACTTGCCCTTTGAGATCTTTCTACCAATTTACAAACACTTAAAAGCATGGCAGATGACTAAGATCATATACAATATGCTTTTTCACCACTGTATTCTTTTTATTTTTCTCTCACCTTTCTTAATTTCATTGAAGATGCAATTATATTCAAAGAGGAAGATTCGATGCTGCCCATGTGGGCACTGCCCACATGTGCTTTTTTACCATTGATCTACACATAAACACACACACACCCACATGGGTGTGTGTGAAAATGAGTTTATCACCCAAAAATGCCAACTAGGTACATAGCAAGAAAACTCATTTTGACAAAAAATATAAATAAATCTGAA